GCTGCCGGCCTCTGCTCCCTCGACGTTTCCGAGGCGCTTGGGACAACAGCAGCAGCACGCGAGCAGCAGCAGCGCCGCCGGCACCGCCTCCGCCTCTCCCTCCTTCCTCCCCCCCTCAGAGAAGTCCTCCGCTCCGCCTCAGCCCTCCCCGAAGGGCTCGCGGGGAAGGAAGGCGAGGAGGCGGAGGGTCCGCCCGAGTCTCGCCCTCTCCTGAATAAACTTTGGTCCCTTGGCTCTTTCCTTTGTGTCTCCTTTCCAGCTCCCTTCAGGGCGTGACCAAAGAGAGGGTTGTCCCGGTTAAGGCCGACTTCTATCTACCGTGCCAGGGCCTTGAAATTGCCACGGTGAACACAGAAATGTTTAATTATCCTGGGAAGGCGTGTTTCGAGGGTCTATATCTCACACAGCCTTTCTTATTCCTCACTTTTCTCTGCCATTGTCCTCATCCTCTTACCCAGTCCTTCCAATGGCATTCAAATCCCTCACTGTCGTTTAGTATTTAGTAAGTGAAATAGCATTCAACTGAGAAGATGCAGCAAGTGTTTGAATTTGTGCTGCTTCCGTTCAGAGCTGCCTTGCAAAACTGAGAGGAAAAAATTAAATGCAATTTAAAAGTCACATCCTAGTTGTTGTAGTCCTTGCCAGTGCGACCATAAGGCAGGAGAAAGAAGTGGGATTCCCGCTCACACCATGCCACACTCTGTACATCGTTCACTTATCTACAATAAAGTGAACGATGATGTTGTCACTGCCTGGCTCCACTTCCGAGTGCCTGTGATTTGGGATGTGCATGATAAGTAGGCATTCAACAGGTGTAGCCCTTCAAACCGAAGACCTGGTGATAGGGGAAGCTCCCACAAAATGGTGTGGGAGAGGGAGCACAACAGGCAATTAAGAGTGTGGAGGAAAATAAAACAAAAATTGTTCCAAAGTTTTACAGGTTGTTTTGGAAATTGAGGCCTCTTGCATCTACTTGGAGTATTATGCAGGTTGGAGTTTTGTCTTTAAAATGTAACTTTTGATGGATAGCAATATTGCTGACCAGAGTGGTTTTATTATATTCAAAGAAAACAAACAAAGAAAGAATGGTACATAAACCTTTTAAGTATATGTGGGTCATAATATCAGCAGTAGAGGCTTATTTAACTTTTATAGTATGTATTTGCATATATATGTATTGTAGAGTTTGGTGATGAATGACCATAATAACTTAAAAGGTTCAAAACATGTTCGAACAATAAATATTTTTGTCTACCCCATTGTTTTTAAACCCTTGAGGAAACATTTTATCCATCTTGACTGAGCAATGTTCAAACCAACAGATGTAGAACACAAGGATCTTGTGAGGAGTGTAAAAATGTGAGACTCAGTTCTGCTAAATGGTGTTGCTCTGCCCTATGCCCTAAGGATTATCCTATGTTTGGGATGCTACACCCTCTTCCTTTCTCATAGGACTGTGTTCTGAAAAAACAGTGTCTAGTTTTTAGGGGAAGTGCCTGCATCTATACTGGTTTTATTAATGCCTGTACTTTCAAATTTTGCTTCGGAATTCAAAGAGTATGTTAAAATAAACTCCCTTGAATTTTCTTTCCATCTTTTCCAGCCTTCCTACCTATGTGCTTGAACTTGAACTACAACCTGTACACCAATCTGGAAAACAATGTAGATAATATTGCACAATAAGGACTGATACTGTAACATGGTAGAAGCCGGATTCCTATATTCCTGTGAGTATGAAAACATTGTCAGGGTACCCTGTAGCCCTTCAGATGCTGTTGGAGCTCAATACCCTTCCTTGCTGGCTGTGCTGCCTAAGCTAGTGGATTTGCGCTTCAGCAGCATCTGCTTGACTATAGATTACTGACTACTTCTCTGCAGATTAATTCTGCCCCTTTCTTTGTGTGTTTGTACATGCCATAAAGTCACCCCAGACTTACAGCACCCAGGATTTTCAAGGTATATATTTAGGAGTGGTTTTACCACTGCTATCCCCATCACATGAGATTTGATGGCCAAGTGGGCACAAAAACTCAGGTGTCCTGAGTCCTAGTCCAACACTCTACCCACTGCACTACGCTAGCTCTCTTATTGATTCCAAACTCACCCTGAACCTTTCTCTGAGGGTTCTGCTTTATTTTATTTTTTAAATTTAATTTAATTTAATTTTTAAAATGGGGAAAAAGTTTAATTTATATTATTCACCTTTCTCCAATAAAGGAATTCAAGGCAGCTCAGAAATAATGAAATGTATGTAAAGTTAAAAGCACAATAAATTATTCAATTAAAATCAATTAAACATACATTATTATTATTATAATATTACTAATCTAAAACACAAAACACACACTTAAAAACACAGTTTAAAATAGAATGACCAAGATCTCAGGAAGATGAAGGTGGCGAGGCATAGAAATGTATGCTACCTTCCTACATCCCCTTCTGTTTCTTAGTGCTGAAACAGTGCAGAGTTTATTGGGGCTTTTGTTCACACTGGAGGTTTATGGACTAGAGGTGGTATAGCTAGTAAGTTTCCCAAGGGGCTTATGCCTTTCCAGAGTACTGCCCTGCTTCTCGCCACTCCTTTCAGACATCAGTGAAATTTCTTCATTAAAGGTAACTGAGAATTGAAATGCTCCTCCCACTGTGTGTGTATGTGTGCATGGGTGTTTGCATTCATATATGTGGGGGCACAGAAACAATTTATAACACCATCCATTAATACATCAATTAATTAATGCATAAGGGACGTGGTGGCACTGTGGGCTAAATCGCAGAAGTCTGTGCTGCAGGGTCAGAAGACCAGCAGTTGTAAGATCGAATCCACGCGACGGAGTGAGCTCCCGTTGCTTTGTCCCAGCTCCTCGCCAACCTAGCAGTTCAAAAGCATGCAAATGTGAGTAGATAAATAGGTACCACCTCGGTGGGAAGGTAAAACGGCGTTCCCTAGTCATGCTGGCAATGAAAACTTTCTTCAGACAAGCACTGGCTCTACGTCTTGGAAACGGGATGAGCACCGCCCCCTAGAGTCAGACACGACTGGACCAAAAATGTCAATGGGAACCTTTACCTTTACCTAATTAATGCATGCCGAAATTAGTTTTTTTGGACTATAACTCCCAGAATTCCTCAGGCAGCATGGCTGCTGCTTTGGTGCAATTTTAATGAAAATATATATGGGAAGAAAAATGAAAGTCAGCAGCACCTACCCAATATATGTGCTGGTAACTGGGATGTTTGCATATTATGGGGGACATATTTGTCCCCCATACTCATATGTGATCCCAGCATTAAAATGTCGTGCTTAGGGTCAAAGATTCCATTAGAAAGAAGGCATCCAACTACCCAAGGGACTGAAGACATGAAAAAGAGCTCTTTTTGTTTGAATAAGGTCTGCACAGCTTGTGGCATGGATCTGAAAACAGCTTGCTTGCTCACTCCATTCCAGTCATGTTCAGTTTCTGTCTGTCTTACGTGCATACATAAGGCCTTCTGTGGAAAGCAAATGTACAAAGGAAGCTTCCACTGAGAACAGAATTTAAAGAAGAGAGGCACAGTTTCCCATGTCGTTTTACCTTCTCTGATGAACTCCCTAGTATTGATCTTCATTTGTCCAGCTTCTAGCTGGCACAGCTCAAGATAATAGCAGCTATATTCAACTCAGTGTTAGATAAACCGAGAAGAACAATCAAGTTGCAGATAGTCAGCTGGACTAATATTTGTTAATCCTAGGTAAGAAAAATCAGAATGTCTGGAAGTAACAAAATAGAGATCCTGTTTTTTGTACTGAAGTGTACAAGAAAACAGCAAACCCAGGGCTGTATTAGATTAATGTGCCTTTCCTCTCTCAATGACATAATTGCTAATGTATGTTTTCATACTCCACTAAACCACTCCCGCCACTGTGTTGTGTTGAGGGCAAGCCTGTCTCTCCACTGGAATATCTTGGTCTTCAATATAACCACTAACTGATTAAATTTGAGTTGAGATTTTATATTAAAAAAAATATCTCTGGCTGTCATTCTGGCCAACATTCTTTCTTTTTTCACTGTGCTCTGTGTATGCGATTTAAATTACCACTAAACTGGCATTCCATATTCTTAGAAAAGTATTATTATTTAGCTAACAAGGCAACAACTAACCCTAGTTGTTATTATTATTACTATTTTGTTGTTGTTGTTCTCTTACTTTACAAGATGTGTGGATAGTTGTCAAAACCTTGTGGGTCACTGCGCAAATGCCTATGTGGTAAGCCACTAGACTGCACATGGTAGCTCCTTCTGCCAGGTCCTGAATTGGCTTTGTCCCCTCTGGCTGGTCACTGGATTCTCCTTGACTGGAAAGGGTATAAGGGAATGTTCTGTTCTACTAGAAGCTTGAGCAAGCACTTCCAAAACTAGGTGGTATTCATGCATTAGTGATTAGTCCTAACTTCTGGGTTTTTCATTGACCTTGTCTTCTGGTTTGGTCTTCTGGCAAACTTCTCAGCCTAACCTCCTAGCTTATTATTTGGTTCTGACATGCTGTTTTTTTCCTAAATACAGACTTGTTGCAGGGTTCTTGGTTCCAAACTCTGGGTCATTTAAGCTTGCTGTCCATGGCCCAGTCTAGATAATAGTGCGATTGTTTAGTCATGAGGTGGTGCTGAATTTAATTATATCTGGATGGCTTCAGGGGTTCCTTCCTGCTGCTCTGCTCAATGAAGTTCTCTTCTGTCATCCTCTCTGGGGCATCCTGCAACCTTTCTATTGCATCGTCTAAGAATTAAAGTTTTAAACCACTAGTGTC